TGGCATTTAAGGCAGGTCCCAGGAGAAGAATCGCAATCGTAGACACCTTGGGTTATGGAACAAGCTCATACCAACTGTGATGAAGAATTACACGCCTTCAGAAAAGCAGCTCCTAGCTTGGTACTGGGCCCTGGAAGAGTTAACAAATGACCATGGGTTCAGAATGCTTCATCACCAGCTAGGTCCTATTGGACACGTAGAGTCACAAAGTCAGGCAGGCCTAGCATTAAAGCCATCATAAGGTAAAACCAGTATCTCTGGGACTGAGCACAAGCAGGACCAGAGGGCACAGGCAAGCTGCATGAGTCCATAGCCCTCATAGCCCACATGTTCATGTCACTCACTGTGCTTGTCCTGGCACCCCACCCCTAGCTTACACCTGTGGTCATATGAGCTAAATGAGGAAGGAAAAAGCCCAAGTTGGGGTATGAATGAATCATCTCAGGATGAAGTATAAGCTGAAAATGGTGGCTGTGGTATAGTCTCACTTGGAGGAGGTCTTGAAAAACAGTGGTGAAGGAAAATCTCCCCAGTAGGAGGAGCTTTGAGATGTGCACCTAGGCATCCACTTTGTGTGGTGGAAGAATGGCCCAAAGTTAGAACATATGTGTGCTCATGAGCAGTGACCTGGCTGGTGGGTGGAGCATCAGAATGAAAGACATTGGAAAATCAGAGACAAGAAATATAGGAGTGGATGAACATATAGGAGTGGACACCAATGGGAAGTTTTTTATATCACATATTAAGGCCCACAAGTAAGTATATATTACAAAAGATGTGCCAACTAGACAAAATAACTTGGCCAATTAACCTAGGCAACCTTTGTTAGAGGCCCCCTCTACCCTCACTGCTGCATATGGGTACCCGAACAAAGAAACTATGGTGGCAGAGATGGAGGTGATACAAAAACCTAACAGAATGGATTGTCATTTACCAAAATATAGCCACTGCTACCACTGAATGTCTAATCTGCCAACCATAAAGACCAATGCAAAGCTGTATTCCTTAAGGAGACCAAGAGGATGCTGGGTGACCGGCTGACTACATTGGGCCCCCTTTCTCCTGGAAGGGCCAGCTCTCACAGGGATAGACATTCATTCCAGGTATGCAGTTGCCTTTCCTGGCTGCAGGGCCTCAGGAGCACTATTCTCTGGGGGCTTAAATACCACCTGATCTACACACATGGAATCCCACATGTGTCGCATCTGACCAGAAGACACTCTTCATGGCACAGGAGGTCGGGGAGTGGGCCCACTGGTCATATTACATACCTCACCAATCCAGAAGCTGCTGGATAGATAAAGTATTGGGATGACCAATTGAAGATGTAGTTGAAGCTCCAGCTTGGAGGCAATACACTGCAATGATGATGTTTCTCCCAGGACATCATGGTGTATGCCTTCAATCAACTTAGTATGCTGTGTCCCTGACAGAAAGAATCCATGGGTTGGGAAACAAGAAGTGGAATCCATGAGTGGCCCTAGTTAGCATCATTCCAATGACCCAGTGGGCTTCTTTGTCCCTACAACTCTGGGCTCTGCAGAGTTAGAGGTCTTGGTCCCCAAAACGGGCATGTTCTTACCTGGGGCTCAGCAAAGTTCCCAATGGACTACAAGTTATGGTTGCTACCAAGCACTTTGACCTCCTAATGGTCAGAGACTAGCAGGTAAGACAAAGAATCCCTGCCTTATCAGAGGTCATTGACCCCATAAGTGGGAAGAGCTAGGGCAGCTATTAGACAGTGGGAACAGGGAGGACTATGTATGGACTCTGGTGACTTTTCTGGGGGTCAGTTGGCACTCTTTTGCCCAAATGTGACTGTGAAGAAAGGCAAGAACTATAACCTTGGCCTGAGAAGGTGCTCGGATCCCTTAGGCACTGGGACTTGGGGTACTCACCCAGGGAAGCTAAGGTGGGAGCTGAGGATGAAAGTTTCCTTTCAGGGAGAGTGGCCCCTGAGAGCCCTGAAGGAGCTGTTCCCTGAATATGGATGGAGAAATAGATCCACGCGGTGCTCAGGGTGGACTAGAGTAGACATGTGTGTCCCTCAGATGCCTCCGTCAAGTCAGGGCTTGCTGCCCAACTGCAAGAAGATGTGTTTAGCTGAGAGCCTCCAGTTTTAACTCCTTCAGGATCTGCTCAAGTCACACTCTTCTCCAGTGGCCCCAGGCTTTGACTGAGCAGGATAGTGGTACAAGGGCTTAGGCTTCTCTGCCCAATGCTAGACTCCTGCTCCTGGGTGGGCTGGCCGACTTTGTCAGGTCTGTATCTTTGTCTGACAGCTCCCTGGAACCATTTCTGCTTTTTTCCTTGACTTTCTCTGGTGTTACATCCCAGGGATCATCTGTACTCTTAATTCCTTGTCAGTATCTTGCTTCTTGGAAACCAAATTGTGACAGCACACATTTTAAAATTTCTCCAAATGTCGGCCTTTTCCCTTCCCACAATCCCTCATATTGTTTTTCATGGATTCAAACTGAGAATTTTAGACCTCTCTTCCCAACCCTTCTAGCCAATCCTTCCTTCTCCACTCTTCCAAACTCTTCCTTCTCCATTCTCCTATATACCCACTGCAGCATTTAACCACTGATTCCCTTATGTTTAACTGTTTTTTTTTTCCATGTCTTTGACGTGTTTTTGGGGGCAGGAACTATTTTTTTAAACTTCTGCATGTTCAGAGCGACTAACTAATGTAACGGCTACATGGAAAATGCTATGTTGAATTTATTTGATAATGAAAGCCCAGTCCTGGGAACCTATTAGAACACAAATAAGGCCAAGTGGATTAAAGGCAATTATGGAAGTAATGGCTAGAGGGAACAAAAAGTCAGATGATCCTGTGTGGGCCCCACATTTGGCTGGCTTTCATGCCAAAGTTTTCTATTCTTTTTTTTTTTTTAACTTTTTATTTATTTATTCATGAGAGACAGAGAGAGAGAGAGGGGGGCAGAGGGAGAAGCAGGCTCCCAAGGAGCAGGGAGCCTGATGCGGGACTCGATCCCAGGACCGTGGGATCATGACCTGAGCCGAAGGCAGACGCCCAACCATCTGAGCCACCCAGGCGCCCAAAGTTTTCTATTCTTGACAGACACAGTTCATCTACCATGAAATACCAAACAGAATTTCTGTTGATCATTTTCAATAATTTCTTTCTTAAAAAATTTTATTTATTTATGTAATCTTTACACCCATCTTTGGGATCAAACTCACCACCTGAGGTCAACAGTTGCATGCTTGGGGCACCCGGGTGGCTCAGTTGGTTGTGTCTGCCTTCAGCTCAGGTCGTGATCCCAGGACCGGATGGAGCCCCGCATCAGGCTCCCTGCTCAGCGAGGAGTCCGCTTCTCTCTTTCCCTCTGACCTTCCTCCCCTCTTGCGCGCTCTCTCTCTTTCTCAAATAAATAAGTAAAATCTTAAAAAAAAAAAAAAAAAAAAAAAGAGCCGTATGCTCTTCCAACTGAGCCAGCCAGGCACTCCCATTTTGAAGAATTTCTAAGTTGACAATTGAATTGTATCATTACAAAAAAAAACCTATCTGATCAATGACCCTTCTTTTACTTGGGAGAGTGTTGGGAGGAAAACCTTTTTCCTCTTCCAACTTGGATACAGTGGTTGGGGATCTGCAAATTAACTGACAAAAGACAGATTAACAGGAGAAAAGACAAGATTTATTTTCACTTTGGGAGGTGGGGGGAGCTCCCAGTAATGGAAAAGGCCTGGAATAACCAAAGTTTATATATCTCAATTTAACAAAAGAGTTTATTTTAGGGCTTCAATGGGACAGTATAGAAGGTTCTACTGGGCTTTCTGATGTTAATGGAGTGGGCAGTGTGTCTCTACTGGGCAGCTGAATTAGCAGGAAGCTCCCTTTGAAGGGGGTTAATAGTAGCTGAATCTTCAGGAGGCTCTGCTTTGAGATTAAGAGAATTTCAGATAAAATTTCTTTATGCAACTTGTGTAGCTCAAATGTTTTCACTTTAAAATAATCTTTATATCGACCCTGGGAGTCCAAGAGGGTCTCCACAAGGGATAAGGCCTTGTCCAAATATCTAAAGAGAGGAACCTTCCTGAGATCTTGGCATACGTGTAAGCATGCCTGGGACCATTTGCTGTTGGGAATTAAGCGGTACCTGCGGCACGCCCCCTATTACGGATCGAAGGCAGGCAAGAAAGTGTCAAGAAGCGTTTCTTCTAAAAGCTCTTAAAAAGGAAAAAAAAGAGAGAGAGAGCAATCATCGCTGTTCTTTAAGAGGGCATGGTGCTGGGGGAGAAAGTGCACATCGGTCCTGGCCGGGCGGACCACGATCTGGGGCGTGGGGGCCAGATATGGGGAACCTTGGGTAGCATCCAGGTTCCACCCTGATGGCTCTGTTTGCTCTAGTTACTTCCTCAAGTACAGACTGAGGATAATAGTATCTAAGCTTTGGAGTCGTTGAGAAGATTCGCTTACAGCAGAGGTAGGGCGCCCAGCTCCGCGCGAGCGCTCGCTAGGGTCGGTGCTTTCCCGGAATGGGTGGGGTGGAGAACAGAAACCTCCTCAAGGGGGCTCCCAAGACTCGCGTCATTCGCTGCTTGGGCTGGCTTATAAAAGCTCCACCAGAGCCCCAGATCAGTTTTAGTTTCTTTTCTTTCGGAAGAAGCCTCGCGGTGCCCAGCTGGGGAACATCACCCTCGCGGAGCGCAGAAGCGAGCGAGGGGTCGGGCGGTTGCGGCGGCGGCCCGCAGAACTGCGCGCGCCGTTCGCTTTCTTTCCATTCGGCTGCCGTCGCGGTTGGCTTGCAGTCTGACACCGGGATCGGGCTGGTGAGTTCTGGCCTCTCGACCCAGGGCCGAGCGGGAAAGCGAAACCGCTGGGTTCAACTAAGGGCGGCGAGGAGCGCGCGCTCGCTGGCCCGGGGCGCGCCTGGCCGAGCACCGCCCGCGCCCGCCCCCGGACTCCTATAAGTTTCGATTCTCCCCGGAGCAGAGTCCCGCGCCGCGGCCGGCGAGCGCAGCACGCCATGGCGGACCCGGAGGTGTGCTGCTTCATCACCAAAATCCTGTGCGCCCACGGGGGCCGCATGGCCCTGGACGCGCTGCTCAAAGAGATAAGGCTCTCCGAGGGGCAGCTCCGCGAGGTGCTGGAGGAGGCTGGGCCCGACCGCTTCGTGGTGTTGGAGACCGGCGACAAGGAAGGGGTCACCCGGTCCGTGGTGGCCACCACCCGAGCCCGGGTCTGCCGTCGCAAGTTCTGCCAGAGACCCTGCGAAGACCTGCACCTCTGCAAGCTCAACCTGCTGGGTCGGTGCAACTATTCGCAGTCGGAGAGGTGAGTGCACGGCGAGGGGAGGGGTGGCGGCTTCCCAGGGCCCCGGTCTACGAGCGGTGTCAGGACTGCTGTCCCGCGAGGGGGGGCCCTCGTGGGGACCTCGTCCCTCCAGTCTCGCGCCTCTCTGCTTCCCCTGCTCCGCCCGCGCTTCTGCTCTTGGCTGTTCTTTCCGTCCAGCGCCTCCAGACCCGTCCTCGAATTTGGCTAACTCCATATCGCCCCGGGGAAGACCATGCTTAACTCCCCACCCCCAGAGGAATGCAGCACTTTTGGGTCAGCCTGGGTCTAGAGCACTTAGAGGCAGGTTTGGGAACGAAGGAAAATGCCTCCACTGTGTGGAATCTTGAGTCCTTCTCGCTCTGCTACCGTCGTCCCAAGGCGCGTTGCGCCCTCCGCACCTGGATTGTCTGTACCGCAGCGAGCTGGCCCTGCGCTTGGCCCTCCACTCCTATCCGCCCCCGTGCCCCTCATTATCACTTTTCTGATCTCTGAAGCTAGTCCGCACCCCTGACCAGAATGATCCTCTTCAGGGTTACCGATCAAGTAGTGTCCACTCCCAGCGCTCCTGCCCCAAGGTCTCCGTGGTGGCCCGAGCGGGTGACTGCCCGCTCTTGGGACCGCTTTGAAAGAGTGCGCCGTATGTCTCAGGCAGCCGCTTCTGGGTTTCCACTTGTTCATTTTTTGCCTCCTAAATATAGTGTGCCCCGAGGTTTGGGTTAAGCCTTTTGACCTGTCTTCCCAGTCTCTCCCGAAGAGAGCTCACTCCCTTGGGTTCAGCTGTCACATCTACAAAGATGGCTTCCATGTGTCTATCGGCTGCCTCCGCCTTCCCGCTACATCTGGGTTCTTCCTCTTCCACTGTCCGAGCAACATCTATACCTGAATATGCTGCCCGTCAATCACATTCATCTTCTTTCCTCTAGGGCAGGGTCTCTGGCACTGGCCCAAGCCCTTCTTCACCCTTCACAATACTTTCATCACCAAGCCTTTTTCTTGAGGGCTCCTACCCACTTCCTGCTGGGTTCCCCCATCCCATCTCACTTCTGATTGAGTGCTTGTTCAATTAGGGAATGATTCTCTCTGACCATAGTCTTTCTCCCCGTCTTTTCTGTCCCTGTGCACTTTTGCTCAATTATTTTTCTTGATATACTACTTTTCACACTTGGCCCCTCATTAAAAACTTTAAGTTGGTGTCCAAAATGGTGGCCATCAATCTTTTGATCTTGTGCTTGTTAGCAAAAACCTTTGGATTACTCACCCGCAGTATATGTGTAGTAAAGCGTACGAAAGACCGGTGTTTTAAATGGAGGAAGTAGAGGAGATAATATTTAAGACATTTTTTAAAGGACAAAATGGTAGAATTTTTAAAAAGTGTTGAATGTGCTGCATTATTTAAAAAAATATTTATTGAATATGTTGTGAGGCACCAATTTGAAAGTCTGTTTCTAAGTTTTGGTAAATTATGAATGAGTATAGAGGGAATCCTCTAAGTCACAGCAGCCCAGGAAATCTGAGAGGAGGAAAGGAGGGCAGGGGGTGGAGGAGAAAAAGGGAAGGAACATTTTAGTACTATATTGAATAACAAGAGAGTTGGAAGGATTTATCTTTTTTTTTTTTTTTGGTGCTTTTCTGTTGTTATTAAAAATTCTTCAACTGGTGTTGGCTTTTAGTTTTAAATACATATATCTGTTATATTTTAATTTTTTACTCTAGATATTTTCAAAATATACTAAAGTAGAGAAAAGAGAATGATGAACTGCTATGTACCCATCATTTCAATTTAACAGTTTTCAAAATATGGCCAGTCTTGCTTCATTTATTTCCCTCTCCCCATCCCCTGTCCCCAACTCCTAACGTGTTATCTTAAACCAAATCCCAGAGATTATGTGTTCCATAAATTCTTTAGTATCTCTAAAGGGTAAGGACACAGTACAACAATCACAATTTTTTACAGTTAGAATTTTAATATAATCCTAATATATGGTTGGCATTCAAATTTCCCTGATTGTCTCATAATAGGACTTGCATTTTCAGGAAGAAACCTGCAGAGACATAATCCATAATTGTTTAAATATGTTACATATCCAATATATTTAGAAACTTTCAATTTCTTATACACAATATGTTTAGACACTTCAGTTTTAGTTTTTGTTTTTTTAGAAACTATTTTTTTTGTTTTATGAATATTATTATGGTATTTTTGTGTGTGTGGTTTGAAACATGAGAACCATTTTAAACTTCTAAATTGGGTTGTTAACCAGCACTTTTATGTATTTTAAAAAGGGGAGAAATAATACAGGGATAATTTGGTCTATTCAAATTTGGATGGATCCTCTGGGGAATTCATTAAAGTCTTTTTTTTTTTCTTTTAGTGAAGTGATAAATTCTCACTTCTTATATTTATTGGTCTAGTTGTATTTTTTCTTTCCTTTTTCATCACTTTTGAATTAGAGAATTACAAATTTTTAATCCATTAAAGTGTATTGTGTCCTCATAATAGGGCCCTTGGGAGAATTTTTTTTTGACTCAAAACCTAGAAAACATGTTTTTTCCTCAAGTATGTTTTTAAAATATTCCCCCCTTCTTAGAAATGTATAAAATCTTCTAAAACTTGACATGCAGGAGTCTAAGGACTTTCTTTGTGGATTACAGGTTAATGGAATCTGTTGACCAATTGATTGATATTCATATCAATTGCCTGAGGACAGTTTGCATTTTGCTGGACTTCTAAAATTTCCTTTATATTGCTTTATATAAAAATTCCTTTATATTCATAAATAGGACTTCTCTCTATCCTGCAGTTCTGGTCTTTCTTACGTTGCTTTCATTAAAAAAAATTTTTTTTTAAGATTTTATTTATTCATTTGACAGAGAGAGAGAGCACAAGCAAGGGGAGTGGCAGGGAGAAGCAGGCTCCCTGCTCAGCAGGGAGCCCAATGCGGTGGGGGGTGGGGGGGGGCGGGGGCTTGATCCCAGGACCCTGGGATCATGACCTGAGCCACCCAGGCTCCCCTCTTACATTGCTTTTAGCTATACACGTTAGTCAACAGTGCTTGCTTCAATGTTGGGTATTGGCTTGTTTTGGTACATCAGTTTGGATGTTTCAATTTGCTTTGCCGAAATATATGCCCACACATGGAGTTCTAATCCCAGTTCTGATGCAAACAATGACTACCATTTAGTGAACAAATAACTATGTATCAAGCACTATGGTAAGCACTTTAGAGATGGTATCCAAGATAATCTTTACCGTGGCTCCTGAGGTAGATATTATAAATCCCATCTTAATATTAAGCAGCTCAGACCCAGAGCTGTTTAGAAATGTACCCACCACAGAGCAGATAGCTGGCAGAGTTGTTGAACCCAGATCCATCTGCATGATTTCTTAACTAGCTACTTGTGTGGTGAAGTAGCTGTGTGAAGGTAGGACCTTTCATTAATTCAAGTTGAGTGGGGTTTTTTTGTCTTTTGCTCTGTGTGTGTGTGTGTGTGTGTGTGTGTGTTTGCAAGCATGACTGTTTAACTGTGTGAAGCTGGCTGTCTAGTGTTTTCAACTAGTTGCGGTTTTTGCCAATGTGGGCGTTTCCTCTGGGCTCTTTCCTGTTTGTATGCCTTTCCTGTTTGGTTAATTGTAACTTTAGGTGGGGTGGGTTAGATGGGGGAGAGGTTTAATTGACTATTTAATAAATTGGGGGGGAAAAGTCCAAATTGCAAAGAATAATATTCTTTTTTTAAAAAAGATATTTTATTTAGGGTGCCTGGGTGGCTCAGTTGGTTGAGCGACTGCCTTCGGCTCAGGTCATGATCCTGGAGTCCCTGGATCGAGTCCCGCATCGGGCTCCCTGCTCGGCGGGGAGTCTGCTTCTCCCTCTGACCCTCCCTCCATCTCATGTGCTTTCTCTCTCATTCTCTCTCTCTCTCAAATAAATAAATAAAATCTTTAAAAAAATATTTTATTTATTTGACAAAGAGATAGAGCCAGCGAGCACAAGTGGGGGGAATGGCAGAGGGAGACGGAGAAGAAGGCTCCCTGCTGAGGTGGGAGCCGGATCTGGGGCTCGATCCCAGGACCCTGAGACCATGACCTGAGCCAAAGGCAGACACTTAACTGACTGAGCCACCCAGGTGCCCCACAGGGAATAACTTAACAAGCATCAGAGTATTTATATGTATTCTGAATATGTAATATAACAAAAGTTATATAAAAGAAAATACAAGATAAATAAGCTTACAACTCACCTCCCAGAATAAAGAAATATTTATGCCTTTCATTTTTGCTTATCTTTTAAAATAAAATAAAAACCAAACAGGCTGAAAATTATTTTCTATTTCCTAGTCTCGTTCCCTTCTCTCCCCAGGAGCAACCTCTATCGGGATTGTGGTGTGTGTTCTGCCCTTCCATGATTCTATAATTTCCTCACGTACATATTTGGATCCATGTACAAAATGTAGTTTTGTTTTATATATTTGAGAATTTTTATTCAATGTTATGTTTTGGGGATCTATTCCTGTTGATACATAAGGATCTAATTTATTCATCTTAACAGCTATATAGTATTTCATCCTGTGATTTATGGCACAGTTCAGTACCCGTTGCTCCAGGAATGGTCATTTGGGATATTTCCAGGTTTTTGCTATAGTAAACCATGCTGCCAAGAATATGCATGTCTCTTGATGCTTCTCCAGAGTAGATAGATCATTAGGAAATGGAATTGCTGGGCTGAATGGTTGCACAGCTTCAACTTTTCCAGATTCTGAGAAATATTTTCATGTTTGAGAGTCCCAGTTTCCCCATCTTATGGCTGGCTGGCACTTGGTATTACCAGACTTTTTTTAATTTATGCCAATTCCAAGGGCATAAAATGATATCTTATTGTTTTCATTTTAAAAGAATTTTTTCTTTAAAGTTTTTATTATGTGATATTTAAGTCTTATGAAAATATATAAAGCATCCAATGAGTTATCTGTGTACTCATGAATCAGCTTCAGAAATACAATAT